TAATCATATACAGTGTATATTGACAAAATAAAAATTTAACAAAAAAAAAAAAAAAAGAAATCAAGGAAATATTATCAGTTAACATTTTTTTCTGATAACTGGGAAAAGATTGCCATTTTATATGATGTAATGTATAAATATTTGAATACTTGTCATTCCTGCTAGGAAAATTAGACATTGATATCAAGTCTGAATATCAAATTGAATTAATAAATGCTTAATAAATGTGAATTTATTAACATTTCTTTTCTTATGTATTTCCCCCAATTTAAAAGGTGTGATTTTTAAAAATTCATTTTATTTTGTAATAATTAATATATAGATATGGTACAAAACTTAAAGGGCATAATGGATATTAGTGAAAAGTGAATCCACCTTTCTCTACCTCTGTCTTCCAGTCACCCAATTCTCTCTCCCTACGGTAACAACTGTTACCAATTTCTAGTATATCATTTCATAGATATTCTAGGTGTACATAAACTCATATGAACATATCTTTACTTAAAAGGAGAAAATTTTTTCCAAAACAGAATTTTACCTCACTAAGCTCTTTTGATTATCAGCAACAGTACTGGCAGTTGCTCTGATTCTTTAAATAACCTTGTCTGCTGAAAGTAGAACTAAAGTGAGTTTTTAAAATTATTTAAAATGTTAAAACACACATGGAGTAGAGAGACCAATAGAATGACCCCTATATACTCATCACTCAAATTGAAAGATTACTTAAAAGTGATTTTTAAAGGGTTTAATACTCTTACAAACTTACAGAACTTCTGTCATTGGGTGAAATGAAAAAGAACTACGTATTCAACTACAACTGCAGCAGCCCTTGAGTCTTCCAGTTCATTCTGTTAGTGCTAGCTGGGAGCAATTTCAGCATAGACTTTCCAGTTCATCACCTTAACCTTGTGGCCACAACGATAGATTCAGCATACAAGTTCTTATACCGTTTCTACTAGTGAAAAATGAGTCAACAAATTGTAGTTACGCTTTCCCTAAAACTTATTGGTATCTGCCTAAAGAGCATATCAAACAGACTTTTAAGGCCAACAGATTTTAATATTATTGTATTAATATTAATTTAATATTAGCTTTTAAAATTACTAATAATTTACACATGTGGGGCTAATTTTGCTGTTTTGATTTGTTTCTTTCATGGAGAAGAATGGTGACCACATTATATTTACTGTTTAGATATGCATAAGTAACTTTGCATACTTAAATAATTTAGTTATGTTAGCATTTTTTATAAAGCATGAATATTATGAATACTGATTATATTTCCATATACAAATCTAATTTTTGTCCTGACTTCACAAAATCTCTTTTCTTTTTCTTAGTTCCACTTGCCTCTCCTGATGTATCAGTGCATCCTCAAAACAATTTTATAGAATGCATCTCCTTTATGCATCAATATGATGCCAGGAAAACTCCCAATGAGCCCATCCGGGGGAAGGTAAGATGATATTTAGAATTAATTGTTTCATACTTCATGACAGAATAGATGTATGATAGAACTTTAAGCCTTTTCAAGTCATAATCATCTTTCTAAGAGTCTAAGTTGACAAAACTAACATAGTTACTAGTAGTATTAAAATCTCAGCCACATGCCATAGTAAGAACTACGGAATGATGTCATAATTTTGAATCACAGTCTTTGGAATTTGATTTACTTATATTATTGAAATCACTTGAGATGAAAGTTTGATAAACTTTTTAATACGCTTGTGTGTGGTGGTAAAGTCAAATAGAAACTTAATAGTCAATTGTTGGGTTTTTTCCAACTACAGATGTTTGCTTTCATAGTTAATTATAACTAAGCCTTTTGTTGGAACTAATAGACATTTGGGATGAAATCATAAATCCTTAGGCCTATGAATTATAGTTTCTATTGTATACATAGCAATCTAGAGAGCAAGAAATGAAATTTGATATGAATAGACTTATACGATCCAAGTGATAGAAAAGTTGAAAATGAGAGCTAATGAGATGCTACTTCTTTGACTTTCTGCTTTTTTTTTTCATTTCTATTCATTTTCTGGTACACCCTATTTTATAATTTGTTTAAAATGTTCACCAATACTTGTTACAGTGGTGTCTTTAGTTTTGGACTAACGTGACAGCCACTGAAGAGGCAGAGAAGTAAGTGCCTGCATCACCAGGACTAGAGCTAATTCACGAATTCAGTTCACAGTTGCATTTTCCAGCAAGTTGTGTTTCACTGGTTAATGTCAACTTTGTTTTCCTTTCCAGAGACATGGAGCTTTTGTGCAGAGAGAGATAAAACCAGGGAGTAGACCGATAGTTCCTAAGGGAACTGAAGTATTACCGAATGCTCCAGGGTCATGCTCATCAGAACAGTCCAAAAAAACAGAGAAAGGAAATTCAGCGGAAAGCAAAATGATCTCACCAGGTCTCTGCCAACAAAATTCCCAAGAGCTGTTAGAGACTAAAACTCACTTATCAGAAACAGACGTCAGACAGGCAGCCAAGGCATGCCCCAGAAATCCTGAGGGAAGGGAGAAGACTGCAGGCGTCTTTCCAACAACTGTGGGAGATGCTCGTCTCACCAGGCATGAGCCTTTAAACCCACCAATAAAAAATCAGGATAAATCAAGATAAATTACCTTCTTCAGATAAAAACATAATCTCTGGAATGTAAAAAAATTTCATAATCATCATACAGGCCCTCGCATTTGCTTTTTTGGTTATTGATAACCTCAGAACATACAATTTGCATAAATGGGAAAAAGGAAAAAAAGACAATTAAAATACACCCAAATTTTAAAACTGGTCTCAAACGAGTGATGGATTATGAGACATTATTTCTATATCACATTACTGATAGACAACTTTGTTTTGCATGGAAAAAAAGACAATTAAAATACACCCAAATTTTAAAACTGGTCTCAAACGAGTGATGGATTGTGAGACATTATTTCTATATCACATTACTGATAGACAACTTTGTTTTGCACAAAAATGAATGTAATTAACAAATATTATAAAAACTTTCAGAGGAGAGGCCCTATTAGACAGTCATCAGTTATAGCCCCAGCAACAAACTGGGGTTGGAATGTCGGCTCCACTTCATATAAGCTGTTTGACCAAGGGCAAGTTACTTAACCTCCCTAAACTTCATTTTTCTCATCTGTAAAATGAGGAAAATAGCAACTTAATAAGGTTATTAAGTATGAGATAATGCACATTCATCAATAAGTGATCAAGTAATCACATCGCCACTATTACTATAATTAAAATTTTAATTTAAGGATAATGTTCTCCTATAAATTTAAATTTTTCTCTTCATTCTAAAACTTAGAACTCATCTATATACAATTAAGAGTGTGAAAATCTAAAAACATTTCTGCCAGTACAAGATACACACACACACTCAATTCAAAGACATATGGGTACTTAGAATATAAAAATATTTCCTAAATCATTTTCTATTTTACTTTGATCCTTTCTAGCACTAACTCAACCTTTGCTGGTTGGATGAGTTTGGCAAGGATTCATTACATTAGCTATTATAATTTGGTGCATTTGGGTGCTACAGTGTATCCACTGTAAAGGTATGTTACCTTGCATACAAGTGGAAGTAGGTGGAGTATTCCTCTGCAGTGAAGATATTTACAAATTTCCATGGGAATTTCTCAGTTGCTCACTATTATCTCCAGTATTGATAAGACTATAGCTATGTCTTTATCCCTTTATCCTACACTAAAGAATTGTTAATATACTGCAAAAGGATGAGTGCCATTATTATATATTTGCATTGGGGACTTCTAGTTCTTACAACATGGTGGATTAAGGCTAATAGTGAACCCCTTCCATTACAAATACCTTGAAATGCTAAATAAAATGGAATAACAAACAAATAATATAGCCAAGCTCATAAAACAGAAAAACCTTCAAAATTGGGAACTTGCTTATTTGTGAATCAATATATACCTTAAAGATCTTTCCTTAACACATGTTGACTACATCATTGTTTTAATAGCTTCATAGTCTTTCCTAGTACAGATGTACTGCTATATAATTGGAGCAATAACAATGCAAGCTTTGGTGTAAGGGGTTGGGGTAGGAAAGGAGAGGTTGATAGCAGATTTAGAAAGCGGTCCTCAAGGCTAGGGACTTGAATTTTCATCCATATTGGAACAGAGATGAAACCTTATGGCCTCCAAAGTAGAGGGATAGAATTGAACCTGCATAAAGCTAAAATTCTCAAATGGCTGGCCTGTCAGTACAGGTATACTCCACTCATATTACCAGGAAGACAGCAGGAAAGTTTGCCCCTGCCTGGAGCTATAGATAGTGAATAAACTCTTTGTGAGAAGGTAAAACCCCAAGCTTGTGCCACATTCCTGTTTGGAATATGAATTTACACTCCAGACTTTTCATAGGACACAAAATTAACATAAAAATTAATCCTGCTAGTAATACCTCTTGGGTGCCTGACAAAAGCAAATGCAAAAATCCTCCTAGAGAGATATTTTCATCATCTACACACACAAAACAAAATCCCAGCTGAAGATAAGGTCACACACAAAAATTACAAATTACACAAAGAAAAAAACCACACTGAGCAAGAGTCTGCAGTATGGAGAATGATTAAAACTTCGAAACTGGAGATGACAGGATTAAAATACTTTCAATTTGAAGATTATTGTCTTTATCGTACTCGAGAAAATTTTATGTTGCTTTTTCTTTTATTTCCATCCCCTCTATTCTCTCTCTCTCTCTTTCTGGAATAAATACTAGCTGAATATTGGAATGCTTGGATCTGCTTTTTATGTCTCTTAACTTTTTTCTCATTATCTTTCTCATGGTGTTTCACCACTAAGTAATGCAAGAATTCCATTGACACTATCTGCTAATTTGCTTTTCAGCCATGTTCATTGTTATGCCAGACCATCTATTGAAACTTAAAGACCATCTATTGAACTTAGTAGTATATTTTTAATTTCCAAGATCTACACATGCTTCCTCAATACATCAGACTGTTTTTATATTAGGAATATGGTAGCCTCTCTTATCTCTCTTAGGATACTGTAGTTATGCCTAAAATCTTTATTTGTTCTCTTTACTTTGTTCGTTTGCATTTGCTGAGTGTGATGCTTCACATTCTTGGTATTGTACTTTTTTTTCAAATGCTTCATAATTCTTGATTTGTATGCTCTTCTTTGATTATGAAATTTCCAGATCAATATCAGTATAAACTATTTCTGTTTACCGTAGCCTGACTTCGGGACAGGGTTGTGATATATAGACAGATAGGATATGAGGATGATTTGTCTGATGGGCTCCTTGATCCTCTCAGGGATCAGTAGCTAGTTGGGCATTACCCTGCCTCTCCAGCCCCAGTGTATGATTCAGTTCATGCCTCAGCTGCCCATTGCTTAGCACAAGGAGGGGATGACTGATATTCTGCTCCATGTGTATTTCCCTAATTTTTCTAATTGATAAAGATCCTAGGGCCCCTTCCACCTCTTCATATTCATTGACTCTGGGCTTGTAATTCTATCAGACCTGCCTCCACAGCAGTCATCTCTCCACATATGTTGGGCTTTTATTTACTTTTGTTCCTCCAAACATTTGTTCCCTGGCAATATCTTTCAGAATTTATTAAATATATATTTTTTCTTACCATAAGTTTTCCTATTTTCCAATTCTATTAAAATGGATTTTATTATCTATATTTATCGACATGCATTTTTATGGGCTTTAGGAGACAATAAGCAGCAGATGTATCTTATCAGTCTACCATCTTGAGTCAATCAAATTTTCTTTTAAGTAAATCATTTACAAACTTAGTACTTTAAACATTAGTAAATAACAAATTCTCTGCAACACACCCCATAGTTGACTGACAAACATCACTGAGACTGGCACAGTCCTTTTGTCCTAGAGAATATGTTTTAGTGAGAGGTGGAGGGTCTGGAGTTGAGCAGCTCAGTTACTGGGCTGGGTTGGTTCTCACCTTTTCAAATATGAGGACATCTTTTCTGCATTAAGAAAAGTTTATGATTTCTCACAAAATAGTAATTGAACTTTCAGTATCCATTGTGTGAGAAAGTGCATAATAAAAGGCAATGATGATTTCCAGGTTTGATTCTCTTAACTGTTAAGGGTATGTCTCTCCAAAATGAATTCCATAGTCTATTAAAGTCATAACTGCCTGTCAGTACAAATAGTGCTCTTAAATTTTATGAGAATATTTGAATGTTTCCAAGTAGTTCCCTCATTAGGTATTTTCATAGAATGATAGCCTTTACTAGGTTATGGGATTTTTTTTTTTTCAGATTACCATAAAAACAAAAACCAAACCAAACAAAAACCATGATCCTTCAAATACTTTAATATTTCAAAAATACCTCAATGAATGTGATAATGGTTTTCAACCCCTAACATTGCTATTAATAATAAGATAAATTTATATAACAACAAAAACCATGATCCTTCAAATACTTTAATATTTCAAAAATACCTCAATGAATGTGATAACGGTTTTCAACCCCTAACATTGCTATTAATAATAAGATAAATTTATATAACGTGTGTTGTGTTAAAACATTTTCAAATACAGTATCTCCTTTGACCCTTACAGTACTCCTATGAAGCAGTGCAAATAATGATATTCCAAAGTCCTAAGACGAGATGGTTAAAAACAGAACAAAAACACAAGAGGCAAGAATAAAAACTTCCAGGGGAGGGAGTTAGCAGAACTCATACCCCAAGAATTACCAACAATAGAGCAGACAGAGTATAAAGTAAGTATGCTTAAAATAACTCAAGACATAAAAGAATAAAAACTATACAGAAAGACCAGAACGCCATTAAAAAAAAGGCATTCTGCGGGGGTGGGGAGAGCCATAAATATTCTAGAGATAAAAATATATCATTTTTTATTTATCTATTTTTTATTATTATTTTTTTTCCTTTTTGTCTTTTTTTGTGACCGGCAACAGGATCGCAACCCTCGGCGCTGCCCCCGCACCTTGCTCAGCCAGTGAGTGGCCGGTCTGTATGTGGGATCTGAACCCTCGGCGGGAGCGCCACCGTGCTCCCAAGCAGCGCACTGTAGCAGTGCGCCACCGGGCCAGCCTGAAATATATCATTTTTTAAAAACCTAACTCAGTAGGCTAAGCATAGCTTAAGAGAAAATCAGTAAATTGGAAGATAGGGCTGAAGAAATCTCACAGAACGCAACACAAAAAGATAAAAAAAAATATTAAGAAGATGCACAGAGAATAAAATATTACTAAGAGTTGCAGAAGGACATGATAGAACATGAGAGGAATTTTTAATAAATATGGCTATGATACAGACTAATATTTGTTTCCCAACAGCCAGTTTCCCCCTCTTTCTTATCAATAGAATCACTTATTTTTAGCTGGAAATTTGGCTGAGCAAAGACAATATTTCCCAGCTCCCCTTGCAGCTGGGTTGACCATACAATTATGTTCTGGGGTATAACCAGAACAATGTGCAACTTCCAGCAATGTCCTCAAAGGGAGGAGGTAGAACTTTCTCTGTACTTTCTCCTTCCTAGTAGTTAGAATGCAGATGTGATGGTTTAAGGTCTTAGTCATTTTGCTGAAGATGGAAGAACAAAAATAGAAGAGTCCTTGAGCCCCAGACATCATCAAACACCATTTGGATGGCCTAATATGTGTGAGAAAGAAATAA